GAGTGGTTCCTCAGGAGAATCATGAGACAGTCGCCTCCTGTTTTATACAGTCAGTTCTGTCTTGACAGAACAAGAGATCTAGCCACAATATTTGGGCCTCACACAGCTCACGGACTCTGATGGCATAGTGTTTTGTGTTGGTCTAATAACAAAAAGGTCAGCAATTCGAATCCACTAACCACCCTGAGAGAGAAAGAGGCAGCCGACCCCTGTAAAGATTTACAGTCCGGGAAACCCAGTGGAGCCTCACCCTCAATCACGTATAGAACAGACTCGACAGCGGTTAGGATTTCTGTTTTCTTTCTTTGTCCCCATTCATTTGTGGAAAGTTTGGTTTTTATTGAATCCTCTTTTTTGAGAATTGGAGCAAATATGCATCTCTTCCAGTCAGCTAGTCAGGTGGTTCTCAGACTTGCTGGCACAGCCTGATACACATGTCCGGGGTTGCATCTGTTCTCTGGAATATGTCAGTTGATATTCCATCAATTCCTCAGGCCTTATTCCTTTGCCATGCAGCTTGAACTTCATCCTTTACTAGCTCTTGTTAGGGGTTAAGATTTCTAGAACTTCAGGGAGACTAGGAAAAGAGAGGACAGATAAGAAACACTGCATTGGAACAAATGAGGGAGAGAAAAGTGTGTGATTATACAATTTATGTGTGACAACAATCTGGAATAAGAGATGCATTGCAGAGTGGACTGGGGGGAGGGGAGGCAGGGAGTGGGGAGAAGAGAGGAAAAAGTGCAACAGTGATGAATGAATCCAACCTCTCTGTAAAAAGATCTACAGTATTTACTCTGAGAGGACACAATTCAGTCCATAATACTTGGCATTTGACAGTTTTATGTGCATCAAATTGTTTATATGTTTCTGAGTTAAATTTGCGTAAGAATTTAAGTAAGATTTATTTAAATGCTTGGATTTTCTTCCATTAATTTTAGCTAGAATTGTTAATATGTGCCATCAAATCAGCTGTGATTCATAGTCAACACATCTGAACCTCACTCTATCCTGCATTATCGTCCGGAGCCCTGATTCACTATTGATCAGTAGATTTTCATCTTCGCCTTCAAAAGAACTTAACCTACATGAGAATCTATAGGAGAGCTTCTTAGAATGGAAGCTTAAATAATTGATTTAGACCTTTTTTAAAATAATAAAATATTAGAACTTAAAATTCTCTAAGCAGCAGGTTTGTTTTTTCTCCTTCCTTTGAACATTTTATTATGTTTTGTTGTGCACCTTCGAGTCGGAATCAATCCATAGCTGACCCTCCAGCGGGTTTTCAGAGGCATTTGATAGCACGGGAGGAGATTGCCCATCCCCATCCTTCTCCCTTGGGACAGCTGGTGTATTGGAACATGCCTTCAGGATTGCAGTGCAGCTTCCTGCCACTCGTTTAGATGACAGTGTATAGAGCAGATTAGTTTCTATTCAACAATTTATATACTCTGTACTGTCTCATGTTACTTTTTACTCTTTTCCTTTTCATTAGTGCTTTCCCCCATTTCTGTTTCCCATGACTTGATGGCATCTGAAAACAATATTCTTCCAGATTTGTGTTTTGTAATAGCGAGGAAATGCGCTCTTTATTACAAGGAACTGCTGGTAGATTTGAACCTCAAGTAGATTTGAACCATGGGCAATAGGCAGATTTTGGGTTAGGAGCATCACTTGCTGTACACTAAGCCACCAGAGTTCTTTGCAGTTTACGGTATGTCTTAAGACTGTGCTGCTGAGCTTCCAAGCCTGGTGCCTGGGTCCCTCTGCGTGTTTGGTTGGCTAAGAGGTTGTCCTGCTTTATGCTCTCCTGTATACCGGGATCTAGATGCATCACGTACAAACACATGCATTCTGTATTTTTTCATTTTCATCATATTAAAAATAATACCTACTAGTTTAGGATGGTGAAGAGATTGAGATTGTACACGGCTTTAGTTTGCTTCGCTCCACAGTCAACACTCTTGGCACCAGTAGCCAGGAAATTAAAAGGCGCATTGCCATGGGAAAGTCTGCTGTTAGGGACCTCTCCAGAGTACTGAAGAGCAACAACATCACCCTGGAGACTAAGGTGCGTCTGATACAGGCCATGGTCTTCGCAATCACTTGTTATGCATCAGAGAGTTGGACAGTGACCAAAGAGGATAGAAGGAGAATTGATGCCTTTGAGCTGTGGTGCTGGAGAAGAGTATTGAGAATACCATGGACTGCTAGGAAAACAAACAGATTTGTCCTGGAAAGGGTTAAACCGGGTGGCTCCTTGGAGGCAAGGATTCTGAGGCTCCGTCTAAGATACTTTGGACATGTTGTGAGGAGATACAGGTCCTTGGAGAAGGACATCATGCTTGGGAGGGTGGAGGGACAGTGCAGGAGAGGAAGGCCCTCTATGAGGTGGATTGATTCAGTGACTGGGGTAATTGGGATGGGAGTGTCAGAGACAGTGTGAGTGGCACAGGACAGAGCAGAGTTTAGGGCTGTTGTACATAGGGTCGCTATGAGTCACAAGCAGCTCAACGGCACATAACAACAACAGTTAAGCCATTTTGGAATTTTTTGGTTGTTTTTTACTGATGCCTAATTCAGATAATCTTAGCCAGGTAATATCTGTAAGTATTTCATTCCATAACATTGAGACTTGCTTTATAGAATGTTTTGATGAGTGTTCTATGTGTTTTTGAAAAGCCTATGTATTTTGTAACTTCTGGTGTTAGATTTTCTAAATGTCCTCTGAGACCGTTTTTCTGCTCTGTGCAAGTTTAGAGTTGTTACATCTTCCTGAAGACTTTCTGGTGCTGTAGTCCAGGTTGCGTTACAGTGCCAACGACAGAGAGGCTCCAGGTTGCTGGCACTTTTAATCCAGTAGTGGTTCTGAGGAGAAAGAGTGGCAGCTAAGATAGAGCCTTGCAACTTTTGCTAGTGGCTTTTCCTTATTTTCAGTTTATATTTTGTCTTTATTTCAAAGATACTTGCTGAACAAAAGAAACTTTAAATTGAAGAAAGACAGGAAGGACCACTCCCCCTCCTCCGAAAAGTCATTATGTTTTTATCCTCAGGCCTATCTTTTAAAAAGAAAAAGGGAGAAATGTGCCTTTATCTTCATTATTTTGCCTCCCCTTGTTTTTCCAAATGTTTTAAGAATTTTTCCTTTTTAGAAGACATTCGAGAGTTGATTATTAGATGCATGCTTTGGTTTTGTCTATATTTATTCTTACCACAGCCATTACCCACTTTAGTATTACTGGCCACAGAATCCATCCATTTTTTTCGCAAGCTTGCTAATCCCTCGAGCAGTCATCTGTTTCTGCCAACCCTGGAAGGGTTTATCCCTACTCCTAACTTTGTCACAGATAGCACACATACGTATACAACACGCACAGTGAGCACAAGAGAGTGTGCGAGGGGGTACAAAACACCCCTGTGATGTGCACACGGTGTGCATAAAGTTACAGTAATTCATGGCATTCTTGTGTCTCTTCAGCTTTCTAATACCCTTTTAAATGTTTGAATTGGTTTACTTCTGGATAAATAACCAATGATAGGACTGTTGTTGTTAGGTGCTATCAGTCAGCTTAACTCTGACCCACAGCAACCCCTGAAGCACAGTGAAGCCCTGCCCACGCCTGTGCCTTTCCTCCGTTCTCCCGTGTTGGGAAGCTGTACTTGCTAAAGTGGAATCCCTCCTTCGTTGCACAAGTTCCAAGGAGCTCCAATGACATAGTCCATAACATGCTGCTAGTCTAAATAAAGTTCCATCTATATTAGGAATTCTTTCTGGCGTTTCTTTTCTCTCCTATATTACTTGTGTATGCTTACATTTTAAAACTGAAGGTTTTTTAAAAAAAGAAGAGTTTTTACATTTCTAATGCAAGTTCTTGCCTAATAGTCTAATCCACAATGTTTTAATCTCTACTCCTTTATTATTTCTAACGTAGTATAAATTGTTAGTGTCACATTAGGAATTGAAATAGATGTTTTGTCATCATCTTCAGATGATGGGCCCTGTGTGGTGGTGGTGTTGCTGTGTGCACTGGAGTCACCTGTGACTGACTCATAGTGACCCTATGTACAACAGCTCAGAACCTGCCCTATCCAGAGCCAATCGCATCGTCTCAGACAGACCCAATCCTACATCTCCAATTGCTCAATCAATCCATCTCATCCAGGGTCTTCCTCTCCTCTGCTGTACCTCTACCCTTCCAATTATGATGTTCTTCTCCAAGGACTGTTCCCTCCTGGCCACGTTCCCAAAGTTTGTGAGATGGAGCTTCAAAAGTCATACCTTTGGGATGTAGCTTGGTTTCACCCTCTCCAGCACCACAGCTCAAAGGCATTGATTCTTCTGTCATCCTTAATCATTGTCCAGCTCATTGATGCATAGCAAGTAATTGTAAAAATTATGGCCTGTATCAGGCACACCTTAGTCTTCAGACTGAAATCATTACTCTGAAGTACTCTAGAGTGGTCCCTTACTGGAATTGGGTGTAGAATTATACCAGATACTTTTTTTCAAGATGCTGCATTATATTTCATTTTATTTTGTTGATTGAATTATTTACTTTCCTAGTATTGAGCCATCCTTAAAACCATTACATATGGTAAAATTGGTTTGCATTCTTTTCATTCTACTAATACATTAAGTTCACTGATACTTTATTTGGAAAATTTCCTTGTATTTATAAAGTACTTTCAGTTCTTCTGTTGTTTATATAATTTGTTTTGAATTTTAGTATTTATAATTACATAACAATATAGTTTATGACACTTGTAAGATGTATTACCCTCTAGTATGAACAAATCTTATAGATCTAATAACTCACTTTTTATTGGCCTTTTAAAAGTAAGAGGATCTCTACTTTTATTTGGCCATAGAGAAAAAATTTCAGGTAAGCCAATTCCTTGTTCAAATAGACACACAAAAAAGCAAGAATAAACGTTTTTCAAATTATTTGCTATATTATAAAATTTTTTTTAAACTTTCCTCTTTTTTTTCCCCCCCACAGTCTGTGGTGGATGACTGGATTGAATCCTATAAACAAGACAGGGACATCGCACTTCTGGATTTAATCAACTTTTTTATCCAGTGTTCAGGATGTCGAGGTACAGAACGTTGGAATAACTAATGTCCATTAAGCTGCCTTCACCTGCCATTAGTCATATATAATTAGAATCTTTTCACTGATAAAAAAAAATGACTGTTGAGTTATTTAAATATACTCAGTTTTTGTTCTGGTTCAGTTTTGTGCTTATAAAATTAACCTTTGTATGTTTTTTTACTTCTATTTCATACATTCCGTGTTGCACTTATTAATGAATGTTGCAGCTGTTTCTTCTCAATTTGATTCTTGCCACATCAGCAAATGATGGTATTTCTTTGCGTGAAAACTTTCCTCAATCCCTGTCATTACTATAGACTCTAAGGAGTTGGCATTTCCCCAGCTGCATGTTGAGAGCCTTCCACCTTGAGGGCTCAGCTTCTAGTAAACAATATTCTTCCATTATGTACACGATTTTTCAAGACCTGTCATTTCAAAAATGGATGGCCAGTCCTTCTTAGTGTGTCTTAGTGTGGAGGTCCACTGAAACCTGTCTACTGTGAGGTACCCTACCATTATATTTTAAAAAAATGGTGGCATAAGGAAGGCAAACTGGCAGACAAGTGGTGAAAGTTGCCAGAAATTAAATGGAACACAGAAAATTGACACTCTAGGCATTAGTAAATTGAAGTGGACTAGTATTAGCCATTTCTAAACAGTGTATCAGATATTACGCTTTGCTGAAAATAATAATTTGAAGAGGTATTCATTGTAAAAAAAGAGCATTTCAAGATATGTTCTGAAGTACTCTTTTGACGGTATACTTTGCATTCACATATGAGGAAATCCTATTAATACAATTGTTACTCAAATCTATGCACCAACAAATGCCAAAGATGACAAAATTGAGGATTTCTACCAAATGTTACCATCTAAAATTGATTGAGCATGCAGTCAGAAGACATTAATAATAATTTGTGACTGGAATAGGCAAAATCTTGAATGACATAAAAATCATCAAAGAGGGATGGAATACACTGAGCCACTGTATCAAAAAGAACTGGTCAGCATTGAACCATTTCTGGAAGTAACAAATGATCAAGATTAAGTCATACTTAATTCCAGTGTTCCCTGAAGGTATTGACAAAAAACTTGGTTCCAGGATTTGATGGAATACCAGCTGACATGTTTGAACAAAAGGCGGAGCCCTGGACGTGCTCACCTAGTTAATGGCAGGAAATTTGCAAGACTGCTACCTGGGCATCTTCCTGGAAGTGATCCATACTTGTTCCCATTCCAAAAAAGATGATCCAGAGTGAACATGGCCGAGTATGGAAAGTAACAAATGACAACATTAATGTGATATACAAGTAAAATCTTACTGAAGATTGTTTAAGGATAACTGTTTAAGGGTAATTCAAGATGGATTCAGAAGAGGCCAAGGCACAAGGACTATCATTGCTGATTGATGTCACAGTGGGTCTTGGCCAAGAGTAGACCCTACCGTGAATATGTTTACTTGCATTTTATTCATTGTAGAAAAGCATTTAAATATGCGGTGGTGATTATGGCCAGCCTGGTTTAAAATCAGGAAAGGTATGCTTCATGCTTATATTCTTCCTCAGGACCTATTCAGTATGTATGCCTTTTCACTCTGTTGAGCAAACATTTTGAGAAGAATGTGGCATGAGGATTGGTAGAAAATGGACTCTTCAGTAATCAGCATTGGGCACATGACACCATCTTGTTCACAGAGAGTAAAGATCATTTCATGTACTTGCTGTAGAAGATCAAACATTGGAATGTTCAGTACGGGTGATGGTTCAGTGTCAAGTAAAGAAAAAATTCTGATCACTGAATCTTGGCATGATAGTTGACGAAAACCTGGAATTTGTCATGATAAAATTTTACATGGGTCCACAGTCAACACCTATGGTAGCAGCAGTCAAGAAAGTTAAAAGATTTGTGTTCGCTTGGGCAGCACATGTACTAAAAAAAAAAGGAGATCTAAAGATTTGTGTTTGCTTGGGCAGCACATATACTAAAAGAGACATCTGAAGATTTGGTTTAAAGTCTTTAAGTGTGCCTGATCCAAGCTATGAAATTTTCATTTGCTTCTTATGCTATGAAAGTTGGACAGTCAACAAGGAAGATCAGAGAACTGATGCTTTTGAATTGTGGTGTCTGAGAAAACTATTGAATAAATAAGAATTCCCAAAGGACAAATGAATCTGTCTTAGAGGAGGTACAACCAGAGTACTTCTTAGGGGAGCTGGGAAAAGCAGAGGGAAGACACTTAGGGAGGTGGGTTCACATGCTGGCTACCACAGTGAGCCTGACCGTGACAGTCAGTGTGAGAAGGTGCGGGATAGGGCAGAGTTCAGATCTGTTGTACATAGGATCACTGTGAATTGTAGATGAATCAGCACAACGTGACTCCCAACAACATGGTTTTTATTTATTCTATGGTTATTTATTTAATAACATTTCTAATTGAGAATGTAAGCTTTTATGTCCGGTAGGTGTAGCCTTAGTTGTGGATAGTCATTATTTTGTAAACTTTTCTGAACTGTTCCGTTGATTTTTATAAATTACTTGTAGTTAAAATAATATCATTAATATCACTTGCAAGCAAGATTCTGCTGAAAATTATTGAAAAACAACTGTAGCAGCATGTCAGTAGAGAACTGCTGGATGTGCAGGCTGGGTTTAGAAGAGGCCGTGGTACTAAGGATATTATAGTGAATGTCAGATGGATCTGAAAGCAGAGAGTACCAGAGGAATGTCTGTCTGTGTTTGATTGACTATGTAAAGGCATTTGACTGTGTGGATCACAATAAACTGTGGTTGACTCTGAGAAGAATGGGAATCCCAGAACATTTGATTGTGCTTATGCAGAACATATACTTGGACCAGGAGACTGTCGCCAGAACAGAGCAAGGTGGCATTGCATGGTTCAAAATTGGGGAAGATGTACACCAGGGATGTATTCTGTCTCCATGCCTTTTCAATCAGAACAGATTATCTGGGAGGCTGGCTGTATGAGGAGGAATGTGGCATCAGGATTGGAGGAAGATTCATCAACAACCTGCGTTATGCAGATGACACAACCCTGCTTGCTGAAACTGAGGAGGACCTGAAGCGCTTGCTTAGAAGGTCAAGGACTGGAAGCCTTCAATATGGATTGAAGCTCAACATCAAGAAAACAAAGATTCTCACCACTGGGCCAATTGGCAGCATCAAGATGGATGGTGAAGAGATTGAGATTGTTAACAGTTTTAATTTGCTTGGCTCCATAATCAACATTCTTGGTACCAGCAGCCAGGAAATCAATAGACGAATTGCATTGGGGAAGTAGGCTGTCAGGGACCTCTCCAGAGTACTGAAGAACATGACGTCAGCCAGGAGACTAATAATGGCCTGATAAACAGGCCATAGTCTTTGCATTTGCTTGCTCTGCATTGGAGAGTTGGGCAGTGACTAGGGATGATAGAGAAATGATGCCTTTGTGCTGTGTTGCTGGAGAAGAGTGTTGAATATACCATAGACTGCTAAAAGAACAGACAGGTTCTCCATGGAGAAGGAGAAACCCGACTGCTGCTTGGAGGCACGGATTCTGAAGCTTTATCTGACATATTTTGGACATACTACAAGAAGGGGCTGGTCCTTGGAGAGTGACACCATGCTTTGGAGGGTGGAAGGACAGCACAGGAGATGAAGACCCTCAATGAGATGAAGTACTTCAGCCACTGGGGCAATAGGGGTAGATGTGTCAGAGACAATAAGGTTGGCACAGGATACAGCAGGGTTTAGGGCTCTTGTACATAGGGTAGCTGTGAGTGGCAGGAGACTTGACAGCACGTAACAACAAAATAAAGTAATACAAGTGTCGAATTTAAATTCAGTTGCAAATCTACAAGATAATTGTTTCTCTATTCCACTAATTGCTGTAGAATCAAAATTGACTAATAGTTGATCCTCCTGCAGATTTTGAGGGGCTGTAAATTGCCCATCTTCTGCCACAGAACAGGTGGTAGATTAAAACTGCCAGATAGGTGCTTTTTTTTTTATTAGCAGCACCACTCCCAACCCACTATCCTGCCAGAACTCCCTACAAGATAATTTGTTCAGTTAAAGTGAAATTTTATTTTTATCCTATGATTATATTTCATTTAAGTATGTTGTTGTTTTTGTCATATGCCTTCAATTGTATTCAACCCATAGCTGACCCTCCAGCGGGTTTTCAGAGGCCGTTAATCACACGGAAGGAGATTTCCCATCCTTCATCCACAGAGCAGCTGTTGCATCTAAACTGCGTGCCTTTGGGATTGCAACACAACTTCTTGCCACTAGGTCACCAGAGCTCCCTAGTATATAAAAAATTTGAATGTGTGCTATTTGGATAGACTCACAAATAGGTAATTTTTAACATGTTAAATTGTTCTGCATTACAAGAACTCATGTGACTAATCATTATCATGGTTTCCAATTCTAAATAATGATCTTCAAAATTGTCATTGAGTACTTGATTCATACTGTCAAGGTTATTGATTGTTATTAACGCAGTTGCCAATGTTATTAGTGCAGTTTCTGCTAAACTAAACACAGTCTTAAACCATATAATCCTTTAGCTATTCTTAGGTCTCTACTCAGTTGAATTGAAAATTTTCATTCACACAGAAACCTGTGTATGAATGTTCTTAAGACACTCTGATGATGTTGTCTCTAGGGAGTTGTGGTGCTAGCTCAAAGGCCACACTTCCCTGACAGATCAAATAAGCCAACTGTCTCCTCTCATGTCGCTTTCTGGCTCAAAAACACAAAGGAGAATTAGCTATGGGTTTCAACCAAGTCAGTGTCAATGAGAAAGAGATGATTCATCTTAGTAGTCTTATTCATAGTAGCCAAAACCGGCAATCAATAAGTTGGGAAAATGAATAAAATATGGAAAATTTATACAATGAAATACTACTCATTTATCAAAAATAATAGGAAAAAAAGAAAATGAAGATTAAATAAAATCGTCTTGGAAGCATTTAAATAATGACTCTGAAGTATAAAAAA